AAACAGCTTATATTTTTTTAAATGTATTTAATTATTTTTCTTTTTTTTAACACTACCTAATCGCACAGCCTTTTAAATACATTTTCATAATTTTTTTGAAAGCAAACCTTTTGTAATGGTTGGAATGGACGATTTTTCTGGGATACCAGTTGCAGCTGATCGGAATGTTTTAAGAAAGAAAGCAGTCCACAGCCTAAATCAAAAACTTACGAAGCATAAGAAAATACTTGAAGTGGTGCTGATAAAACCTAAGAAGCTAATAACTTATTCAGAATCGTATTAATTACAAAAAGTATGTTTCAGAGTCGAATTAGTTATAAAAATTATTGATTATTGATACAATTACATCAAAACTGCTGCTGAGGAAATGTTGTTCGAACAGTGGTGCTTTCTCAAAGTTAAATATATTTCATAGCTTTTAGCTTTTAGTTGGGCAATTTTGGAAGCCTGGTAGATTAGATTATCGCTTAACGGTAGGATCTTTTGTACAATATAGAGCACACTTTTGACAATATAGAGTAATTTTTTTTCGTCTCTTTTTTAGTTTAAAAATTTTAGACGTGGTTTTCTCAAAACTACTTTTTCGAAGTACGTGTTCAAAACTACTTGACCGATTCATTTCCCTCCCTCCAACGTTTAATAATTTTTTTTTTTCCATTAAGGATATATTTCACCCACAAATTGGCGGAATTTTTAGTAGAAATTAAGAGTTTACACTTTAAATGGTGGCCAAAAATTTTGAAAAGAAAAAAAAATTATCAAAGAACATTGGGAGAAAAATTTGATTATAATTTTACAAATTTCCTTGGTTTTTTTATTTTCAGATAATTTCCAGTGAGTTAAGATGAACACCGCAAATTGTATTTTATTATTTTTAAAAAGAATTTTTTTTTTTTTTTACCTTAAAACCCTTACCATTCCCTAAAGTTATGTATATAGTACTTGCGATCAGATATGAAAGTTTTACTCATGGAAAATAGTATTGGAAAGGTAAATATTATGAAAGCTGGAACGCACTATAAAACGTGATGTGAGTTCTCATTATATTCATTCAAAACTTGTGTAAATAAACGGTTATAATGTGTGATGATATTTTTCTTACAGAATTTTTCGAACAATAAAAATGGATTTGTTTCAATAGAAGATCACTCGTTTCGACTAAAATATTAAAAAAAAATCATTGGTCGTACAGATAGTATAAAAATATTAGCAATAAGTTTAAATGATGATGATGAGACATGAGGCAAACAATACAAATATAATTTTAGAGTTTAGCATTTAATTCCAAAAATTGAAATCGATAAATTCAAAATGCAGACAAATACAATAAAGACACAACGCATAATATATAATATTAACTAAGGAGAATTTTGCTAGGATAAGTTTGGTTGAATTTTTTTATTTATTAAGAAATTTTGAAATTTTTTTACACATATTTTTTTCTAATTTTTTTGCTGTTGTGTATTTTTTTCCGATTTGTCTGGATTTAGAATTTATTGATTCAGAAGGCAACTGTCATTGAAATATCGCTAAATTAAAGAAATAATATACGCTAACAAAAGCGCTTAGGTTGACGTATACGAGCACTCATATTTAATCACCAAAATATGTGTTGCAGCTAAATTCATATAAAAATAAATGTGTCAGTATTATTTGTTAATAAATTGCTACACTTACCCACTACCCATGTGCCCCACAACAAACAAGCAACGACGCTGTGGCAACTTGAAACGCTTACAATTCGGCTTACGGCCCGCTAGACTTCGCTGCGGCTGTTAGTTAGCGAAGTATAAGCAGTGCGCTTAGTACTAATGAGCGATTCGTAGATTGGCAGGTTGGCGGGCAAATAAATACAGGTGGTGCAACGCAAGCTGTTAAGGTAGGCATTCGTTAAAGCACAGTTATACGCACAGCAACGCAAAAGTGCTCATTCAATTATTCAAGCACTCCATCAAACAGTCACTCAGCCAGACACACCCGCGCTGCGTGGCCTTACGCTGACACTTACACCACAAATCAAACAGAGCTATAATAAAAAGGCTTTGCCGCTTTTCCTAACACCGCCACTTTTTGTTTAGTGATTAACATTACCGTTATTGCTGCGCGTTGGCGTTTTCGTATTTGTGCTGGCATTCGTTTTGCCGCTCTCTTCACCATGACTTTGGCTGTCGTTGCTGTTGCTGCTGTCGTCACTGTTATGTTTGTTGTCGTTGTTACTGTTGTTATTGTTGCCACTGTTGTTGTTGTTGCTGTTACTTTCATTGTTGCTTCTACCACTGCCGTTGCTATTGTTGGAGCGTCGAAATTTCGGCGCTATGTAATAGAGACCGTCCTGCTCGCCCGTGGCCGTCAGTTGTGGTGGCAGGCGCTGAAATCCGTTCGCACGGTATAACGGTGAATAGGCTTGTGGCCGCACCACTTGCGGATGTGATATGTATTCACTGTCCGGGTTGATGGGTGGCAATGGTTGTCGGTAGTTGACCAAAATGTCACGATGCAGCGGAATTTGCGGTTGATATTGACGTGCTGGCGGCAGTTGCTGTTGTTGTTGCTGTCGCTGCTGTTGTTGTAGTTGTGGTGGCGCATAGTATTGCGCTTGGTGTGATAGTGCTGGACCTGGTTGTTGTTGTGGCGCTGTATAACGTTGTATTTGCGGCGGAAAAGGACCTTGCGGTAAGGCCGGTTGATAGGGATTTATGTATTCCGCGTCCGGATTGAGCGGTGGCCGATTGGGCGCATAATTCACATATGTATCGTTCTCTAAGCTCCACAGCGTTTGTGGTTGTTGCTGTGGCTGCTGATAATTAGACTGTGGCGGCGGCGGTGGCGGTGGTTGCCGGTAGTTGATGACGCGCCGCTGTTGGAATGGTTCCTCGTAGAAGCGGTTGTTTTGACGCGCATGCAGCGCCGGACCACCGTAGTAGTAGCCATTGAAACCGCGTTGTTTGGGTGCGAAAGCTACCGGTGGCCGTTCAATGCGTTGGTACTGCGGCGGTTGGGCATACTCATTCAGCTCTTGTTGTTGATTCAATGAGACCCAAGGTGCCTGCGTGGTGACATGTGTGCGCTGGTTACCTGGGTATTGACGCAGCTCTGGTTCGGCTGAGCGGTATTCGGGCAGCAGTGGTGTTTGTTGTAAATATTTGGCGCCTAAGCGCAACTTCTTCGAGCGCCCTTGTGGTAGAGGCGGAATTTGTTGGTAAGGTGTATCGGGTTGTATTGGCACGAGTGTGGTGGTTGACTGATAACGCGCTTGTTGCTGTTGTTGTTGTGAGTATTGTTCTTCTTGCTGTTGTTGCTGCTGCTGTATACGCGCATTCGCCTTCTCTACATTAATGGCTTGGAAAGAATTCTCATCGTCTACGGGTGGACTATAGGTGACCATTGGTTTGAAGGGCGCTTCATCATATTCGGCTGGTGGTTGGAAGTCTTCAGCGCCGGCTGTAGGTTGTACCGGCTCCAAATTCTTTGACGCATCGAAATTGAATTCATATATAGGTTTGGCTTTGGGTGTGCGTGGTATGTTGTTGTCGCGCAACTGTTGATTTTGGTAGTAGCGTAGCGTTTCGCGTATCGCATTCACCTCCTCTTCAAAGTTTTCCAGGGGACGTGGTTTGTAGACGGTAGGCTCGATCGGCACTTGTGGTGGTCGCTTGTAGCGCACCGCTTCCGGTTTAGGTGTGATATAGACCACATCTTGTGGCAGGTACGGCCGTTGTGGTGGCAAGAAGTTGCGTTGATTTTGAGGCTGTGATTTAAAGGGTCGTTTGCTGGTTGCATACAATTTTATTGGTTTAGCCAGTACCGGCTTTTCGGTAGTGGAGAGGAAATCATCGATAACATTTGTAGTAACGCCGTTAGGTTGACGCTTAGCCTCGAAATATTCATAATAGATGGGGTTGGATTTCGAAAGTGGTTCCTGATTGTTACGCGGTGTGGTCGGTTCATAAGCGATGGCATTCGGACGCGATTGCGGATATTTGTGGGATGGAAAGATGGGTATGTGAACTGCCACTGGCACAGGTATAGCCTGAATGAATTCTGGTGGTGACGCAGTTGGTGTGGGTGCCGGGGGTGGTGGCGGTTGTTTGGTCGGTTGCACATGTTGTCCGGCATGCGGTGGCTCTGGTGTAATGATAATCGTTTTGGGAGAATACTGATGTATTTTCGTAATAACTTTTGGTCGATGCGGCGCCTCAGTTGTGGTTGAGGTCGTAGTTGTTGAAGTAGTAGTAGTACTTGTGGTGGTGGTTGTTGTACTCGTGGTGGGTGAAGGTGTGCCATAACCGCGATGTCTTGAAGGCGTATGTAATTTTTCTGGTTTCTCTAAACGACTAAATTGATTGGCGGGTGGCGGTAGAACAATTCCTGGCACTAAGGGACCCGGCGGCACTGGATTTGTGTAGTTACTCTTATAGACAAAGGTATATGCGGGCGGATAATACAATGAAGGATCATCTTCATCGAAGTAATCGGTACCATTCGAAGTGTCCAAAGAACCGTTGTGTGCAAAAGTGAATGGACCCAAATTTGGGAATGTAATGGGTCGTGCATTATTTAAGAAGGGATTCACGAATGTTTGGTTGTGATATAGCCACGGCGGAGAGGGCGCCGGGTAGTTGTAACCCGGTTCGCCTTGCGCAGTATCTTGAGTCGATCCCGGCCGGGTAAGAAGATTTTTCTCGTTGTCACTGTCACTTTCGGTTGATGGGTAGTTGGCTTCCGCGCCGGCGGGATAAACTGGTATCGATTCGTTAGCGATCGGATAGACGACCGTGAATTTATTATTTCCGATAAACTGTAGCGGCCCATTCTCCTCGAGCTGGACGGGAAATGGTGGCGGGACTTTTGGATTCGGTGGTATTTTGATTTGACGACCGGGTGCATCGTAATCATCGATGGGAGGCCACGGTTCATCCGGTTCGCCCTCATTGAGATTACCACCCTTGATTACAAGCAAATGATCCTCAGCCAGCCAGATGTCCTCTTCATGGAGACCACCAAATGTGCGTTCATTATCTATGGGTGTCTCCTTGTTCGGTAAATAACTAATAACACCGGGTCTTTTGGGTGGTCGTCGAAATATTTCCTTTTCTATTAGCCCATACTTGCCATCACGTACTTGATCAGAAAGTGTCTTCTTTGATTCGTCCTTACTTTTCTTCGATTTAGCGGTGTTCTCTTTGCCTGAGCCGGCACTCAGACGCAATATACCGTTATCCCAATTATCGAAATCGCCGTCATCTTCCAACAACGCTTCATCATCTGCATTATCATCATCATTCAATGTGGTGTCTTTGCGTTCGGTTTTCATATGAAATGGGGTCGCCGTTGTAGTTGTAATTGTATGCGTTGGTGTGACAGCGGTTGTGCTGACTTTCGTCAAACGATATGTACTGCTCATGGCCAGTTGTCCTCCTTTGGTGCGCACGTATTGATATCCGGGTTTCTGCGTTGTCGAATTACTAGTTGTGCTGTTGGCTGTGATGGCCGAAACCTGATAGGTGGAACGTCCTTCCGCATTTTGAATGTGACCTGCTACAAGACGATGGATCATGCGTGGTCTGAAATGAACAACGAATAGTGACAGAAAAATAATACATAACATACAAGAAACTGAAAATGTATAATAATTCTCCAAATGGTGGACCTATTTGTACTCCACATCTGCGTGGATGATAATTCTTTTAGATGTGGTAACCTTAAGTTGTGATTGAAGAAGGAAAAATGTTTCTGGAACCTTGGTATAAGAGATAATGAAATCTGAAGTCGGTAAAGTTTGACCGTGAGACGGTATGTGTATAAATGTAGTCTGTATCGGACCAACTGCCCAACATGAAAGTAATGCTCTTAAAACAACTAAAACAAAGAAAATTCATGCAACTCTTTAATATCTTGTTATCCTCCATACCAGGAAGCTGAGAATGTGGCTGATTGGCTTCTTCTAGTTCCGAAACTTTTAATTGTTATGTTCAAACATAAAAATATACTAAGAATTTGATTCATGCGAAAAGGATAAAGTTGACTTTGTGCGTCGATTCATCACTATGGACGAGACTTGGGTCTATCACCTTGCTCCTAAATAAAAACAAGAGGCTAAAGAGTGGTGTGAACCTGTTTGTTCGTCTTCGAAAAGAGTTCGTGTCCGGAAATCGACCAAGAAAGTTGTGGCATCACTGTTTTGGTATGCGAGAGGAATTTTGTTTGTGGATTCCTTGCAAACTCGTAAAACAATTAGTTCTGAATATTATTGCAACCTTCTGAACCAGTTTAGTTCAAAGCGGACCGAGAACGCATTAAAGACGACCGCGATCTGGTCGATCATCAACCTCTACCGACGAGAATCAGTCCAAAAATCAAAAATTTTATGTTTCAAAATCGTAGATTGACAATTAGAGACCTCGCTGAAATATCATTTGGCATTCCATACTGTATTGGCTTTTCGACCCTTCTCGGCACATATGGTCCCGTAATCATCGTATTCGTCTAATTTGACCCCGTACAAGTTCCATTCGAAGAAGACCAGGAATTCGACACCGGGAAAAAAAAATATTCCTACTGCTGCGAAATTGAAAAAGAATTGAAAAAGATTTCGAATTTACATTTTATGAAGAAATTCATCTTACTTTTTGGTCATAGTAGTACTTTTTAGTCTACTATATAACTACGGCTACTTAAGAATCCCATAAACAACTATTAAAAGCCTTCAATAGCCTGGTATACCTAAGGTGGCAGAGTTGCTTATCGCACTCGTTGGGGTAATTACTTAATTTCAGATGAAATCTTATTTCACTTGAAGTACTTAGGCAACGCCCCGCTTATTAAGCTTAGCTTTGAAATCGTCGAATTATTTTCCTTTAAGGCCCCGGAACTGGAGCTGATTATTAAAGCGTTAAATTCGCATTCACCCGTTTACAACGATAGTGCTTGACCCGCAATAGCCGCAACTGCCCACTATTATTACAAATCACGTGTACAACAACAAAAAATAAAACAATGAAACGCTCACTAGCGTTAGCTGGCTGTAAATCACAAAATGCGAATCGTAAATCGCCAATCACTTTGAGTTTCGTACGTCTGTTTGTTTGTTTGTTTTTGCTAAAAATAAAAATGTACCAAAAAGGCAACTCACGATTTTGGTGTCTGCGGCAGACGCGTCGAATTCGCCGTGCCAGCGCCATTGTCGGCTGTCTGCAGTGTTGGCGTTTCGCGTTGCACGTTGGTTCGCGCCGCAAAGTTGACGATTTGTTTTGACTGGCGCTGGAGTGGCGGCTGCTGGTGATGATTCGTCATCGCAACGCTTGCTTTGGAATCAGTTGATGACGTAGTATGTGACGCGCCGCTGCTAATGGTTGTTGTCGAAGTCACAGATGGCGACAATGAAGCCGTTGCCGGCACTTTAGCTGTGCTTGTCACAGCGCTCGTGCGCACTCCATCGGTGCTAACATTTTGATAATGGCTATTGTTGCTGATGCCTTGTTGTTGTTGTTGTTGGCCTGCATTGTTGTTCTTGTATGCGACACGCTTTATTTGGCGGCTGTCAATTTGTTTGTTTGTCTTGCTGGCATCAACACTCCTACCGACCGGCGCCACTGCATCTGCTTTCCCATTTTGTATGCTCTGCGTCGCTGCCGCACTCAAAAAGCTACGATTTTGGCGCACATTTGTCGGCGCACTCTCATCAGCGCCGCGTGTCGGGCGGTGTATTGATGGCGGTGTCGTTGCTGCAGTGGCTTTAAAGTTGGACGCCGCACGACGCGCCGCTTGCGTCAATGGCTGTTGCTTCGATGTGCTGAGTGTTGCAGGTTTGTTGGTTGTTGTTTTTGTTCTTGCTGTCGGATGCGTCATCACCGTGGTAGGGCGCGCTGTGCGCATGAGTCGCGGCGCACGCAACGATGGTGGCTGTTGTGTTGTTGTCGATGTGGTACGCTTACTAATGTGAGCGGAAGTTATCTGCTCCCCTTCCGCCGCTGCGTCAACCATGTTTTGGCTGTATTGTGTCGGTAATAACAACAACAACAGCAACGGAAGTAACGTGATGAGCTGCAAGGTCAACGACTTCATCTGCAAGCAAATGCAAAAACAATAGCAAAATAAGTGAAGTGCAAGTGCAACGGTAAAATTCCATAATGAATTTAATCATATAAATTAAGTGATTTAGTGTTTAGGTTTTTTCATGTGCAACATATCCGTTAAGTATGTGTGTGTGTTTGTGTGTTATATATGCGGCATGTAATTTTGTTTAACGTAAAAAATATGTAGCTCGTGCAAAAATTTGCTGAAAACAACATCTACCGATTTTAAGCGCGTGTTTCAACCCGTCTCTTACAACAACAGTAAAAATTGTGAAAAAAATCCTCAAACTCCCCCTCTCATATCATCCTACTTGTCTATCACTACGTGTACAACTTTACCTTAGCCGTTATTGGCGCGAATCGTGCAGCGCGCCGAAACGATTTATGGTAATTAGCTGTAATGGATTCCACCATTCAACTATTCATGCAACCACTTGGGCATCTATAGGCGCTGAGGGGCTGTCTGCCTAAGTTGATATTTGTCTGCCCCTCAATTTGCCAGACAGTGCGCTGTTGGCGCTGCTGCTCATCTCTTATACTCGGTCAAAAGCTGCAGCGTTTTATGGCTAGTCTTTGGAGGCAAGCTTGTTGCCGTACGTGGCACGTGCGGCATAAATTTCAATGTTTACTACACAGATTTATTTATTACGTTGCGAATTGTGTGAATGAGCATTTATTTTGGTTAACGCTGTTCAAAATTGTTATTATTACTTCTGACATCAGTACAGGAAATCCGAGTTTATGCGAATATTTGTTTTGTCTTTTGAAGGATTTATGTACAATAATATACTTATATCTATAAATTGAAAAATGTTTTGTTTTTATGAATTTATTAATGATAATTAAAAGTTATTGCAAAAAATGGAGGATAGAACACTAAATCAAGGTATAATTTACAATAGTTTTTCATAACGCCTTTCTTCAAAAACCTTTATGTACAGATCGAACTGCCCAAGTAACATCGCTTCGCTCTATGGCCTCTTGAAAAGTACCAAGAAGACCCGACGTTTTCGAATCAATTTTTTTTTTTTTTTTCAGTAATGAATCCCATTCTGGCTTAATAGGTCTACATATATGTGTCTTATTTCTGGATGAAATGACAGCTGGGTCAAACCACGCCAAGAGGTCCATGAAAATTTTGAATAACACGAACATGTTTCTTTGACGTCATTTCAGCGATTTATCTCCAATAGTTTATAAGAAAATAATTTTACAATTTTATCCTCCTCTAAATTTCAACCTTCAATAACTTTAACAAAAAAAAAAAAAAAATAATAATAATAATAATAATAGTAATAATTTTAACGAAATATTTATATCACGGCGTATGCGTCTGGTCCCCTTCCTAATGAACTGCTAGTTTTCAAAATCGGAGATTTTTCATAATTTCCATGGACCACTTGACGTGGTTTGACTCAGCTGTAATTTTATCCCGATAAAAAGTGTTTGGTGTGGTTTTTTGGCCGGTCCATATTATTACAAAAATGAGTGCCGGTGAGAACATAATCGTCAATGGTATAATATTTGATGCCTGAAATTGGTGATCTTGGCGATAGCAAGGCGGTGTCATTTACACCTTCCCACACATTGCATCAATCAATGAATTTATTGAGAAAACACTTCGGTGTGCAGATAATTTCATGTTTTGAGCCAGTCGATTGGTCACCAAGATCGTGTGATAACGGCGTGATATCTTTTTCCAGTGAGAAAATGAAAGTCTAAAGTCTGTGCGGACAACTCCGCTTCGATTCAGGTCTTGGAGCAAAACAGCACACGTGTCATTCGTCAGTTACCAATTCAAATGCTTGAACGAGTCATAGAAAAATGGATGGATCACCTGAGACGTAGCCGCGGCCGACATTTGAAAGATAGGACGATTATTTACTCCAAAAAAAATGAAAAAATTATAATAGTTTTATATCAAAATGGATCTCGACCAAGAGTGGAAAGAATATATTCTTCAATCCTTGACATTCATATAACAATACAATATACTTAAATTAAGTAGCTAACTGTTCCTTTCAAGATGTCGAACGCATGCAATTTTAGATGCCTTTTATATTTCGGGATTTGGGATTTCCCCAGTTTTATCATTTATCAACTCACAACGTTATCGTAAAATTTCATGTTTTTGATGTTATACATACCCAGAGCGTTTTGAAATAGGAGGGCAATTTGTGTTGCTTACAGTAACTTTAAATATTCTTTCATTACTTTCGACTCAACAAAAATGCATCCATAAACTTAATTCAATTTTTGACGATAAATCTACATTATAAACCAGTGCTTATCGATGGTATGGTGATTTCAAGACAAATTTCGCGAAGGTCGTATAAATCCAGATGGAGTCCGTGAAACTATTTTTGTTGTACGCAAACTTATGTTGACAGCTACAAAAATTAGTGGAACCAGTACACATTCAATATCGTATGAATATTCGAAAGTAAAAAAAAATGCTCACATTGAAACCCACACAATTTGTCAATCGCTCAAAAAACGGTTTATCTCGAATGGTCGAAAGATATGTTAAAAATATACAATGTCGGTGCTTCGAAACACGTTTATGATATTGTAACAGGTAGTAAATTGCGGATTCGCGCGTATGAGCACAAAAGTAAGCAGTTGTGGGCTGTATGGCTCGCCTGTTTTATATTTTTATTCTTTTGAAGAACTGAATATGTGGCCGCCATACCTCTAGAACAACGCAGAACATTAAATTCTGAGTGGTACATAACCATTTGTTGCCAATTGTGATTCAAGAAATCAGGAAAACCAACTAATGAAGATAGTTCCCTCTTCACCACGACAATGCGAGTTCTCATGCATCGATGTGCTGAGTTATCCTCCGCAGTGGCGGATTCAGAGGGGGAAATGGGGGACAAGGGCCAAATGGCTTATTAATAATTCTACTACTCTGAAAAAATATAAAGTAACCAGAAAAGCAACGATACTCATCGAAGCCATATGAAAATTTAATTTGTAATTGGAATTTTTTGCATACGTGATATTCCATTTCTAACTCACTCACTCAGCGTGATTCTTCTGAAAGAATCCATCGATCTGGTAAATGCATCAAATATGATAGATACCCTGCTTCTAAAGTTCCAAAATCCAAGACAAAAAGCTAAGCAACATTTTCGATCGGACAGACACGAAAAAAATTGATAGTTAGTTGACGAAGAAAAACCAATAATCTGCGGCCGACAAACAAAACGAAAAAATGTCTAATATTGTGAAAAATACTACAGGGCCTCAGTATGCATTGCCATTGGGGCAGAAGCAAAGGTCAAAAGACAACAAAGTTACGTCCTACTGCATTGGAAACGTTGAAGAATTGCCATGTAGACCTGTACACCATAATTCATAATACGGATACATAGCTTCCGTCGCATATTCTAAAAACTTTCTGTGACGAATTAGAGCTCTGAACGCTCTTTTTGGACCCTTCGCCACATGAACACTCGGCTGATATCCGCCATAGTCACTTTCAAATCGATAGAATTAGGTGAGGAACTTCTGCTTTCGACTGCAAGCAACCAGAACACCCTCTATTGGTGCATTTCTTAGTAACATTTTGTTTTTTTGTCTTCATCTGAAAACATTAACGACCTTCACGTCAAAATATTTAATAAAAAAAACTTCTTTAACTTGATTTTAATCGGCCAATTTGTATGACAACTATATCGTATAGTGGACCGATATCATCGGTACCGAAAAATCAGCTGGCTAAGGGCTTAGCTCGCTTATATACAAATTGACTCTGCTTGTCATATGCAATTATATTTATGCTTAATGTAACTTTTTTAGGGTACACGAGTACTGAGGCTATATTTCGTAATCAAGAAAAATAGCAAAATAAAATTATTAAATAATATTTTTTATCCAAAAATCGTATGAAATTCAGTTTTATATTCAGAATTTTGTTACAAACTTTAGAATCACTGATAAGAGCAAAGAAAACTATTAAAGCAACGAACATAATGCAATAAAATTGGACAAATTTTTGTGTGACTTTTTTATCACTGATGGAAAACCAGCACCACAGAGCAATACTCCAGATTTGCTATGAACATTTTTAAAAATCTTTGTATTTTGAGTTAAATTTTATTTGCTAAGATTTATTTTGTGTTAGCCATAAGTATCTGGCTGAAAAGCCTTCGAATCGCGAGCAAAGCGGTGGGTAAAACAAAGAGCGGTCTGCTGGCAAATTAAAGCACCGCAGCGAGGTGGACTGCAAAGCTTGTAACAATAAGCGGCGTGCAACAAACATGCAGCAGTTAGATCGAATGCAATTAATTAAATCTACCAGTGCACTTTTTCTACTTGCTCTATTTGAAACCGGTTTTGAGCAGCTGAAATATTTCGGCACTCTGACGTCAGTCGTTGCTATTTCAATGAACCCGCTAACTGTACTTGTACTCAACTAATCCATACATATAAACATTGCAATGTAGTAGACAGTATACTTCAATAGTACTCTTATAAAGGAATGTGAATGTAGGTATGTATATATGTTCAATATGTCTGCGGTGCCTAACGACCAGCATAACATTTATAAATAGTAGAATAGCAACAAAAATGTTTATTGAAGCGAGCATGATTTAGAAAAAAATGAATTCTATAGCCTGTACAGGTTAGAAGTTTGCCACAATCGTTAAAGACATGCCTCTTTGTGGACGACTGATAAAAATATTAAGAAAGTGGCGGATATGGTACTTGGAAATCGTCAGACAAGTACTAAAGAGATGGTAAGAGATCTCGACAGCTCTCTCGAGAGTGATTTTGGTGGGTATCGATCGGAAATTTGGTGCACGTCCTTTTCCCCTCAAAAAGCTGTTCAAATTGATCGCTCAATTTATCAAGTCCTTGTATGGAGAAGTTTTTTACTTGGCGCGATAACTTCACGAAATTGGCACATATTATTTCTCTAGGTATCCCTGCAATCTCAAAACAAATTGTTCAGATCGGATCTCTATAGTGTATATGTAG